TTTCAAGACAACGGGAGCCCACATGTAAAATGCAGGCTGCCCCTCTGCCTGCATGCCCTTCCTTCCTACCTGTGTCCCCTGCTGCCCTCAAGTTCCTCTTCACCTCTGCAGCAGGGCCCCCACGGTCTCTAGGGCCTGTGGCTCTCACAGAGGGTCTGGTTAGCTCTGGAAAGTCTCCATAAGTGGAAGGCAGGGGCATGCTTTCAGATGTTTGGGCAGAAGAGACTTGGAGCTAAAGCATTTTGCTTTGTCTAGAGAGCTGCTCCTTCTGCTTTCCTGCTCCCCTCACGCCAACTCCTCCAACAGTAACAACCACAGCAAGAAAATCCAGCCACAGGAAGGACTAAAAAGGGCTTGCAGGGAGCTGTACTGCCCACGTCCAGTCCCACTGCCCACCAGGTCTCAGGCGGCAGAAGGTCGGGCAGCCCCTGGAAGGGAGACCCATCCTTCCGGAAAGGAAAGCTTTGTCTCTGGAAGAAAAGTTCCACCCCAGGCTCTGGTGGCTCCAGACAGAGGAGCTGGGAAGGCGGGCCGCTCCCCAGAGGCAGGGGGGAAGCTGAGCAGTGAGGAGGGGCCGGGACTTGCTGTGAGACCCAGAGGCCACACAGATGGAAGTGCCCTGCCCTGGGGACACCTGGGGACAACCTCTTGAGAGACATTCGACACTACTGAGCACCTTTAACAAGGGTCCCCTTAATGCAGCAATGCTACTCCTGGTCTCGATCCCCGGAACTCTGGACCCAGGCCTGCAGGGAGGTAAGCGTGGGGATGTTCACAGCAGTGTGGCTTGTGCTGTCCACTGATTAGGAACAATCTGAATATCGACCCCGGAGACTCATGAAACAAACCTGGTCCACCCATGTGACAGAGTACTGTGTAGATAGTTGGAAAATGTTATGTACTGCGTGATCCCTTTAATGTAAAAATACCCTTGTAAGGTACGTTTAGACAGGTAGTACGTATATATGATCAACTATTTATGGCAGTTATCTCTGGGAGACACTAGAATAGGACAGGAGTGAAGATTATCATAGTGGAGGGACAGCGGCCAGCCAGGCTGGTTGCAGAATGTCCCTGTGCTGCACAGGGGGTCCTGCCTCCCCTGCAGGTCCTCCTGCATCACAGACCTGCCCCGCCCACTCCACACAGAGGGTGTCCCAGCCACAGTGCAGGACCTGACGCTGATGCCGGACCTCAGAGGAAAGCCCTCCTCTGCACTGGGTCCTACTACGTGCCATCACGGACGTGCCCCGTCTGTTGGGCTTCTTTGCAGAGACTCACTCTGGGCCAGTCGTTCACAGGAAACAGAATGACCAGGTGCCACCTCCAGCCTACCTCCCAGGTGAGAAGCCCCGTGCATACCCAGCCAACACAGCAGAGCAACGAATTGCAAAGCACTGTGCCTAGTGCACCAGGCCAGACACGGCGTTACTACCACAGGAGTCCACTGGGGAGACATTTAAAGCAGCAAACTAATCTATGGAGGAAAACACCAGACAAGTAGCTGCCTCCAGGGCGTGGCGGCAAGGAATGCCAGAGACGGGATCTGACAAGATTTTCTGGGGCCAAGAGGAATGGTCTGTGTCTTTGTGGCATTTGGGGTTACAAGGGCACTGTGTGCATTTATCAGAACTCATCAAATGATACACTTGGCTGGGAAGACGGCAGCACTGGAGGACTCTGAACTCACCTCCACCCACAGAAACAAGAAATTTACAACTACCCTTGGAACAATTACACCTGAGACAACTGAAAACTGGACAAAAAGAACCCTCACAAGAAGGGACAGTGCTGATTGAGGTGGAAGAGGCATAAATTCCTTTCTTGACAGGAAACAGCTACATCCAGCCATGGCACTTCACAGCTGGGAACAATCTTAAGGTATGCAGCCTTCCCTGGAGGAGTGGGGGATCTGAGCAGGAGAGCTTTGCCAAAATAAGCATCTTTTGGACTCTGCACAACTTAGACATGTGTCATAATATCTGGCTTTGCTGGCTATGAACAATGGGGAAAACCCCCAGAAAAGCTATTGAATATAAGTGAAAGAAAAGTCTGCTCTTAAAGGGCCCATGCACAAATTCATCCATTTTGGGAAGCAATCTAAAATCACCCGAAAGAAAGGTGCACAGTCCTTTGGTGAAAAGAAACTCACTTGATGGGCTCTGGGCACATCTCGGCCAGAGACAACACCTCCCCAGGGTGGGACCATCTCCCCAGGGACTGAGACTTTGGCGGCAGCCATTATTGTGACGCTCAAACAGATGCTGGCAGATGCCATTGAAGTTTTTCCCCTGGTCTGTTAGCACAGTCATCCGCCCCACCCACTAGACCATCAATTTAATCCAGCTCAGCCAGGGCAGGCAGCCCACCCTTCAGACTGGCCCCACCCAACAACGAGCCCTTGGGCAACCTGTGACCCCACATAGGTGGAGTGTGTGGGACCTCTGCAGTGCGGTGAGTGGGCCTGCTTCAGTGGGGCAGGGCATGTGCATGGGGCAGGACTGCATTGACAGGGTGTGTGGGCCTGTGGGCAGTGAGACTTGTCAGCTGCAGCAGACTTGTGCTTCTCAAACAGCCCCATAGAAGATCAGCCCCACCTTCCAACGCCTGAAACAACTGTGTGCTGACATGCCTGGGGCCAGCCCCACCCAGCTGCACTACTTAGAGAGCTGAGAAAAACATAGCAGGCCACAGGCCTGTAGCAATTGTGAGCCCCTGAGCCTAGCAACCCGACACACTGGGGGCCTACTCACTTAACAGAAAAACTGGAGCAGGTTATGTGCTATTAGACCTCGTAGCCAACTGTACTAGGACTTCCCACGCCCGATAAAGTGACTGAAAATACCACAGCAGCAGTAACACAGCTGACCATTACAACCAGCTGGCCAGGACAGTCTAGCCTCCCCTTGCACCTGCAGCAAGAGCAACCCTGCCACAACAGAGGGACACACACAGCCCACGCAGGGGTCACTTCTGGAAGATTTGTAACTGGTGATGACAGGGAAGAACACTGCTGGGCCTCGTAATGCATCTCTTACATAAGGCCACCTCTCCAAGATCAGGAGACGTAGCTGACCCACCTAATACATAGATACAAGCACAGAGAAAGAGGCAAAATCAGGAGACCAAAGAATATGTTCCAAATAAGGAAACAGGACAAAGCCTCAGAAAAAGAAACAAACAAAACAGAGATAAACAATCTACCTGATAAAGAGTAGTATAAACTAATC